GTCCCAATTACTCCTCCACAAGAAACTAAAATGGATCTTTATAGTAGATTGAGAATATATATTAGATATGAATCTCCTTCTATAATTAAATATCTTGAACCATTAACAAAAGATATTTTTATGGCTCAATTTGTCGATCGTTGTTTTGATGAAATACTTTTTTCAATATTAGGAGAAGAGGATAAATATAATAAGCGAGTTAAGAATATTGAAAAAAGAAATTATGTGGAATACTTCATCTTTATATCATCTTGATCCTCGTACAAAACAATATGAACTTGAAGTTTAGAAGATAATTCATTTATAAAGTTTTACAAATCAACTCGTTAGATGCATTTTCCGATCCAAAGAGAGTAACTAAATCACATGTTCTTACTAAGAATGCTCCTATTAGAATCGATGCCCTAGTAAGACAACTTATTAATGTTATAACAAATGAATCTAAAGCACACTCGAAGCATGGAAGATCGATCAGCTCTAAAGATAAAAACCCCCAAAAGAAAAAAAAATAATTGAGATGAAAATATGAAAGAGGCGAGATAGAACGATCCAAGATTTCTTTGATAATAGGCTTCAAAAGAAGCCTAAATGCTTGAAAAAAAATCAAGAATTTCAATAAATTATGTTAATATAAGGAGAAAATGGGACCAAAAGAAACATTTGTTGATAATATATTTGCATATGATATTATAATTGATATTTTGAATAAAGATCCCGAGCCTAAATCTATTAAATAATATCGACATAGAGATGATTGGCCTAAATGGAAAGATGCAATCCGGGAAGAATTAAAGTCTCTTTATGAAACAAGTAGTTTTTGGACCTATGGTTAAAACACCTAAAGATGTTAAGCTAGTAGGATACAAATGGGTATTTATTAAAAAAATAATAATAATAAAAAAGATGAAATTATGAGATACAAAGCAAGACTTATAGCATAAGGGTTTTTACAAAGACCCGACATCGACTATAAGAAGACATATTATTCCGTAATGAATGCAATTATATTTAGTTATCTTATTAACTTGACAACACATGAAAAACTTCATATGCATTTAATGGATGTTATCACAACTTATTTATATGGTTCATTGGATAATGATATCAATATGAAAGTCTCAAAAGGACTTAAAATGCTTGAAGCGTGTAAAATACATTCATGAGAGAAGTATTCAATTAAATTACAAAGATCTATATATAGATCAAAACAACCTAGATACACATGGTATAATCATCTTAGTGATTATTTGTTAAAAAAAAAGTTATAAAAATAACCTAATTTGTTCATGTGTCTTTATAAAAAATTCAAAAAAGGGTTTGTAATAATTGCTATATATGTTGATGATTTAAATATAATTGGAACTCCTAAAGAGATTCTAAGTGCCATAAGTTATTTAAAAAGTAAATTTAATATGAAAGATCTTGAAAAAACAAAATTTTATCTTGGCCTCGCAATTCGAACACTTAGAGGATAAAATTTTTATTCATCAATCAACATATATAGAAAAAGTACTACAATGATTCTATATGGATAAGGCTCATTCATTGACTAGTCCAATGATAGTTTATTCACTTTATGTGCAAAAGGATCCTTTTCGGTCTTGAAAAGATAACGAAGAACTTCTTGATCCTAAAGTATCATACTTTAATGCAATTAGTGTATTAGTATATCTTGCTAATAATACCCAACTTGATATAACATTTTCTATAAAATTATTAGCAAGATATAGATCATCTCCAATACGAAGACATTGGAATAAAATTAAACATATACTACATTATTTTCGAGAAATAATTGATATGGACTTATATTACTCTAATAAATTAAAGATAGGATTAATTGGTTATGTAGATGCGAGTTATTTATCTCATCCACATAAAACTCGATCGAAACTAGTTATGTATTTATATATGGAGATACGACTATATCATGATATTTTATGAAGTAAACTTTAGTCGTCACATCTTCAAACTATGCGAGTAATACTACCAATTCACGCGAGCAAGTTGAGAATGTATTTGGTTAAGATCAATGACCCATCATATTTGAGAGACATACGATTTATCTACTAGCAAGGAAGTTCCAACAATATTATATGAAAATAATACTACTTGCATAACTTAATTAAAAGAAGGATACATCAAAGGTGACAAAACGAAATATATATCACCAAAATTATTTTTCACACATGATCTTCAACGAAATGGTGATATTAATATTCAATAAATTCGATCAAATGACAATCCAATAGATTTGTCCACTAAGACATTGCCTATCATAACTTTTGAGAGGATGATTCACAGGATTGGAATGTGTTGTCTTAGAGATTTTAAATAATGTTTTCAACGAGGGGAGACCAATACGAGGATTAATGTGTATAAGGAATATTTTACTCTTTTTTCTTCATTAAGATTTTTTTTCCACTAGTTTTTTTCCAAGTAAGGTTTTAATGAGGCATGTTCCTTGTATAATGAATATTCAAATGGGAGTGTTATGAAATAATGAATATTTATATACTTTTCATATCCCCACTACTCATAATTTTTAATGTGATTCAATTCATTATTCAATATTAGAAATTGAAAGGGTGATGTAATTAATTCAACAATTTATGTACTTTTAATTATTCATAGTTTCTTTCATTTCTTTTCTCGGTTTTGAAACTTATAAATAGGCTTGATTGTTTATTAGTTGGTGTATAAGTTTTTTAGAGAGATTAAGAACATAATTTAAAATTTTTATCACTGGTATTCACTTTATTTTATAGTGAATTTATTTTCTTATAATCTTTCTTTTCAATTCTCTTATTGTTTCTATTTCTTTTATAACATTGACCAATTTAAAGTGATAAATAGAAATTTTCTCAAAAAAAAACTTAGAACTAAACCATATATTTTTTCAATATATACAATTATCTACTAGTTAGCATTATTATTGATTTCATTTTAATTTTGACTAACATATTTGTACTTAGTTACAAGTAAGCATTTTTGTTGTTTTTATTTTAATTTTGGCAAACATATTTGTACTTAATCTTTTTTAATTGCATGTTAGATTCATTTTGTATGTATTTTATTATTTTTAAATTATTATAATGATTTATTAAAAAATATTCTTTAAAGTTTTACTACGATAAGGTCTCACATATGATACGTTTTGCATAATTCAAGATGAGATCATAAAAATACAATTCCATGATAATTAGAAAATAATAATATAATTTGATTCTTGCACTCTTTGAACTATTTTTTTTTTAATTAAAGCCTCATGGTTTTTGAATTATTTTGATTGAGTTTTTTTTTTATTATTTATTTAAGAATCTTACGTATGGCATGTGTCATGTATTTAGAAATAGACGCACTACATTAACATTATGTCATTTCACAACTAACATTATTATAATAGAAGATTTCAAACAAAATAAAATGAAAAGTAGAGGTTATCAATCAATAAAATATATATTAAAAAAAATACAAAATCTCAGTCACATCATTATGAAGAGTAGAGATCCACATATGAGCAAACAAATTTACCAATTATTGGCCCTTTTTGCTTAGTCATGTTTGATCTTCTAATAATAAAATACAAACTTAGTAATTTTTTATAATTAAGTCCCAATCTCCTAATTTCTGACAATTGATTAAATTCAGGTTATTTTAGCTTCCAAATTGGAATATTAATTAATATTTTGTAGTTTAAAGAAAATCCATGCATGACTAAAAAATATTAATTTCCTTGTTTTATGAGCATTTTACAATTTTTTATTGTACACTTAGGTAATTATGCAATGAAAACATATAAATATTTAGTTACAAGGTGTTGCATTGATGGTCATCAAACTCAGTTGTTCGAAAACAAATCATTCAGACAAACAAAACATCAAAAAGTTCGAGGACTTTATAACTAGCAAAAAAAGGAACAAAATCTAACGGATATGGAAACCACAAGTCGCCGAAGTTCCTTAATTTAAAGCTCGGAAAGACGGCAACTGAATGCAAATCGGGTAAACCATAGACCACATAATGTTCACATTTTCTCCTAAAAAACTCTCTTCCTTGAAAAAAAAAAAGATAACAATAATAATAAATCTAAATCCAAATAATAATAATACTAATAATAATATGTAAAAAAGAACAAGAAAAATAACAGGCAAATAAAACGAAAATCAGAAACTTTGATGGGGATGACGTGTCACCAAATCAATTATCGCGTAGTTGGGCACAAAGGGAGGTGCTGTATGATTTGAAAGAGTGCAGAAAGACTCGTAGGTATGGCCCAACCAAATTCGAGAAGCAACATCGGACTCACACTCGCTGAATAATGGTCAGTCCAGGAAGGTCATGAACTAGCAAAAGCCTCCTTACCCCAACCCACCCTCTAAGCTCGTTCCAAGAAAAACCAGAGTGAGCTTCTCGTGTGCTGTTACTGGTCTGGTCAGTGTAATCGCTGTTATGTATATAAGGCATAGGTGCACCTCCAGCAGTTACATAGAAACCCAGCTTTCAATTCAGTAGAACCCCTTGGCACCTCAATGAAGGTTCTGAGTTTGAACAAGTTCTCCTAAATTGTAATATGCTGGACAAAAGTTGCAAGAGTGACTCTAGTCTGGCGAAGGATTCAAGGGGATAAATTTGAAACTGAACGGGGAGAGAAATTTGCACGTGTACTCTAGTAAGCATTAAACTTGATTTAAAAGTTCAAATTAACAACGGAAATTGTAAAGGCTATTGAAAATAAATGACAATGTTTGTGCTTAATAAAACTGGAGAAGTCCATGGAAGATTGGGGAAGCCTATAGAAGAAAAGAAGAATATAATAGTAACATTTACTACCTGCATGCCACACATCATTTGTACAGGCCATTTAACAAATGGAACAAAGACTAGTAACAATTAGGAACCTTGTTGGATTTCTTATATAACAACCGAGAAAGCAAATTGTTTAATAGTTTTATGGGACGATAGTCAGCAATTCAAGGACAATTGAGAAACCATGCAAACTAAGAAGAGCAGCAGCCGGAGTTCTGGCTAACGGGTTGTCCACGTATCTGCACAGTGGGTGGCCTTGCATTGTTTGCTGCAGGTTGACTTGCCATCCTGTAGAGGTAATTGTGATAAAGGAAACTGTAAACAAACATGTTTGTTTACTGCTCAACAAACAAGTTTTCCTCTATGCATTTTCTCACTTTAAATCTACGTTCTAGCACAATCAATGTGAATTCACAAATAAAATAAACAAAATCACCAATTCATTTAAAAAAGGTACCTGTTTTTGATGTCAGCAGCCATGGCCATAAAAGCTTGCTCCACATTGAAAGCATTTTTTGCACTAGTTTCCATGAACGGAATACCAATTTCATCTGCAAATGCCTTTTGAAACCCAGATACATAGTAGAAGAACATGTTCACTTTAGCATTCAGTAGTTTAGAAGCATATACAATGATGGATGATAGCAAGGGAGATCAGATTTACCTTAGCTGTTTCATATGAAACAACTTTGTTGGCAGTGAGGTCAGACTTGTTCCCAACCAGAAGCTTGTTAACATTTTCACTTGCATATCGATCAATTTCATTTAACCACTGCTTAACATTGTTGAAACTCTCTTGGTCTGTCACATCATATACTATCTACGAAGTGATGCAGCATTAACAACAGCAAATTATGGGATACAAAAGTAAAAATGCCAAAATTATTAATGCGTGCCCAAACTCACTATGATGCCATGTGCCCCACGGTAGTAGCTGCTAGTAATTGTCCTGAACCGTTCTTGTCCTGCAGTGTCCCACTGAAAAAGGACAGAAGGCAGATCAGCAACAAACATAGGAAAATTAGAGATGAACACTGTGGACAAAGTCTCATTACAAAATATTTCACGAAGAAAAGGGATTCAGAAACAACAATTCAATGGTGATTTGCATATGATACAGGGACATAGATCAAAGCAATCAAGTTGCAAATGACCTAACTAAAATAAGAAAGTTTATCAAGAAATTACAACTAAAATTTGAAAACCAGGATATTTACAATGATCACAGAACGCTTCATTATACCAGAGGCATGAAGAATAAAACACACAAACAAATGTTAGCATACCAGAAACAGGAGTAAAATAAGTCTACTACAATTCCCAAAATGAGGTTATTGGAGGCTACCCTATTAAAACTGGAGACGTTCACCGTAATTAGATTTCCCCAGAATACCAAACAAACAATATCTCAGAATAAGAAACGAGCATCTTACAATTTGAAGTTTAATTGTCTTTCCATCTTGCTCCACCGTGCGAATTTTCTGCAGAACAGAAAATAAACTTCATCAGTGGCATTCTCAAATCCAGCAAACATTTGTGCAAATGAATAGCTCTCTAGATACTTACAAAGTCAACTCCAATTGTGCTGATGTAACTGTCCAGATAGGAATCATCCTGTATTAAAAAGATTAAAAAAACCAAGTTCAACACCTCAAAGCTTTATAATTTGATGAGCTCATGATATACAATAACTGCAATCAACAAAAAGAGAGGACAAGAGGGAAAAAGATATAATCTTACAGCAAATCTCAAAAGCAGACATGATTTGCCAACACCAGAATCCCCAATTAGCAAAAGCTTAAACAAATAATCACTGCCACCAAAAAAATTATTTAATTTAATTAAAACCCATATCATAAAACTCAATTACACACAAACCAAAAGCAACGTATATCCCGTATTACAACAGATCCAATAAAACCCAGAATATATTCTAAACAGATCCCAATAAAACCACAACTTTATAAGACAAAATTCCAACAAAGATCGAGATCTTTGTAACTTACTATTCAGGTGTCATGGCTGTTAGTGAATTCGACCGGGATTTGAACCGGTCTGCAGAGCAATGAACCTGGAATCTGACAGGCAAAGGTAAAAAATGAGAGAGAGAGAAAAAGAGAGAGAGAGAGAGAGAGAGAGAGTAATAAGTAACGAGAAAAATGGAGAAGAAGAAAAAGTGTTTTTTTTTCTGTTGGAGGACCGACAGCTTGGGAAATTAAAAAAATATTTATAACGTGGGAGTTAGGACCAACCGTGGTGGCAGACTGATTATTAATTTGGACCGTTCAACATCAAGCTACAGAGAAACAGCCCAAAATATACAAACTACAAAGCCCAAATCACAATAAGCACCGGCGTGATGACCCTTGGTCAGTGTGGCATTACTTCAAACATCTTGAATGCAGCTTGGCGAGACAGGAGTAGGAAGAAACTTCGGATATTTTTTTAAGCTTTTCATTACTCTCCAATTCATGAGTTGCTATGATTTTTGGCTCAGCTTCATCTTGGCAGAGTGCAAACCCAGGAACATCTAGCAAACTCCTGTCCGTGCTTCGTGTCTATATAATCAAGAGACGCACCTAACCAGCGGTACTGTTTCATTATAGCATCCTTTCCACTTCCAAACCTGAGTTACAAAATTTTCACGGTCGAGAACCTGTCGAGTACTTAAGTTAGGCTGTCCGAGCTTCGTCTCTACGTAGTCCGTATCCTCTATGTCCTGCCATTTTTTTTCCTCCGATCTATACTGTATAGCACAGTAAGTGCAATTAGCACTGCTCTTATGATTATTATTATTATTATTATTATCACTAAATGCAATTAACATTATTGAAGCTTGAGCTCGAGTTTTATTTTTATTTTATCAACGAACTTGAGTTTATGAGCTGTTAATTTTTTTTTTGTTTTTTTTTTCCAATTGAAAAATAATATTTTTCATGCTTAATTTAAAAAGGACAAACGAAATACAATTGTTTTTTTTTTTTTTTTCAATGGCGCAAAAGCCCGAACCTTGTGCTCGGGCTAAGATTAGGCCCGATTGACTGAGCCAGGCTGAGCCTAGGTCTAGAGAAAAGAAACAATACCTAACTTACGTCCAACTCATGAACAAATCTAACAAGGGCTCAAAGTTTCAACAAGATTTTTTTGCCCACTTTATACTACTACGAATATGATAAAATATATAAAATTATTTAAAAAAATTATTCAAATTTAATAATCTATTTTATAATATGAATGTATAAAAATATATAAAATCAAAGATGAAAAAAATACTTTAAATTTTTAATGTAATTTGAAATTAAAAAATTATATATATATATATATATATATATCCAGTAGGAGAGAGAAGTTCTTGGTTGACTTATGCAACCAGGTTGCACATTATTAAAGTAAAAAAAAAAGGTGAGGGAGGCAAGGCGTGGTTGGCTCGTGCAGGTAGGCTAGTGCGCTCGGGCTCGCCATTGCAAGCTCGCTCGCGGCCGGGCCTTGCACCGCACAAAAAAAAAAAAAACCCGCAACTTCGACGAACCCGAGGTTTTCGGAAGTTCGTTAAAAAATCGGAGGTCATCTATGAGACCCTTAGAAATTGAATTTTAGCATCATTTTTTTTCAAACACCTATAAATTATCGGAATAAAGCCAATAAATACATTTAAAGTCTTAAAAATCATTATAATACACATAAAAATAAAGAAAAATACAAAATCAAATCGATTTTTTTTCTTTTTTGGCTCCGATGTACCTTCTCTAATTTTTTAATGGCTTGAAACCATCATGGACAAATTCATCTCTCTAAAATAAAAAAATCTAGTGGATTTTCACACAGCTAGAGTGACCTAAATGAGCTTGGCCGATGATCTCTCTCTCCTCTCGTTTCTCTCTTTCTCTCGACCTTCTCTCTCCACCTAGGGATCAAAATAGATAAACAAATAAACATGTGGAACGAAATATGCGTTCAAAAATATCGGGGGATCAAAGTGTTAAAAAAAGGCTATGAATAGTGAAACGCACGGTGAATTGTGAGAGGGTGAATAGTGAAATATGAGAGCGTCTATAGTGTTTCAAATAGGAAATATTGGACATAGTCACTCCCTTGGTTCGTGGTCGTGCCGCCCTTATAATGCCGAGTATCCGTTAAAATAGAAATGTAATAAAAGTTTAATATTAAAACTCGTTTAAAAATAAATAAATAAATATTTTTGAGAATGAGAAATAATTATTAGAAACTTAAAAGAATATTTAGAAGGGTCAAAATAGTTTTTCATGCTTAAAGAATATTTTAGTGATTTTTCGGTACATGAATAGTAGTTATTGCATGAGAAAATTAATTAAAGCATGTTGTTTGTGTATGAAAAATATCTTTTTATTTGGAATAATTTTTAGAAGGGTGTTAGATTATTTTATATGATTTTATGAATTTTTCTACATATGGTGAATATTTCATCGAATTTTCTAAGTGTAGGAATAGTGTTTTTAAAGGTAAAGAATTTAATTAGGCACCTTACGAGTATGAGAAATTTTTTAAGAGCATAGAATAATCATATAGGATGTGTGAGAGTGCCTAGAAAATTTAAATTAATTTTAGAAAGTATAGGGAATATTTTTTATAGGAAATAGTGTAATTTTCACACTAAATAAATAAATTGAAGGCTCAAATTAGGGAAAAAAATTATGAAACTTTTAATCAAACTCCCTTAATGAATTTTTGAATTTATTATAGAAATAAATTTGATTTTTGAAAAGTATAGAATGGGATTTTAAAAGTAGGGACTAAATTGTATAAAATTAGGGACTCGATTGCATAAAATTAAAAGTTTGATAATCCAAATTAAATTATGTGAGAATGTTAAGGGTTAAAAAATTCTTCCTGAAAACTAAAAAGGAAGGATTAGAAGTGAGGTTTTGCATAAAAGAGGGACTTAGGAAAGAATAGGCTATGGAAAAGTCTAGAAACTTGAAGACCAAAATTTGTCATTTGCCTCCCAAATTTGGCCAAACTAGAGCATTAATTAAGTCTGAATTCCAGTAAACATTATGGCCAAAAATAAGGAACGTGGAAGTGTTAAATAAAAAGGTGAATAAATGGGTAAAAATTAGGATAAATGCAAATGAATGATTAGAAATTGAATTAAGGGTTGAGATTTTCCCACACTAAGGATGGAGATGGGATTAATGATTCCACAAAATTTCATATAAATAGGGGTGCTGGAAAAATAAAAAGGAGAGGAAAAATTGAAAAACATAAAGGAAACTCTTACAAAATTTTCACTTAAAAATCACTCAAAACATTTTTAATAAATTCTATCCATATCTAATCAGTGGAAGAAGCTTGAATTTTAAGTGGGAAGCTGAAAATATCAAGGGAAAAATTCAAAGATCAAATTCAAAAATTTAGGGGAAAAGAGGAGGAAGAGAAATCCTTCACCAATCTACCTTTTTATAGTCTAATTGGAGCTCAAACAAGTAAGTTAACCTCACCTACACCATAAGTATGCTTAATTTCAAGTCAAATTTCATGTTTAATTGCTTGATTTGATTTAATTGCTCAATTGATAAAAATTAGGGTTAGGATTCTTAATGAACCAAATTTTGGGGTTTTAAATTCTTTCATTTAATTGGTATTTTGACACTTGATTCTGACTTATTTGAGTATGAATTAATGTTTAGGAATGAAAAATTATACTTTAATTGAAGAAAAATCCACTAATTATTAGAAATTATATTTGGCCTAAACTAAACAAATTAGGGGTTGAGTTCAAAGCAAATTGATTATGGTTTGATGGGTCATTCACACTTGAACAAGCATGTTTTGATGAGTAGAAATGGAAAATTTACTAAAAATTGAAGAAAATATGTAATGAAGAAATGTGTTTTCTTGAAGTCAAAGAGTTACACGGCCTCCTACACAAGTGTGTCCTTATCCTTGTAATTAAGAAATGTGTTTTTCTTGAAAGAAGAGAGTTACACGACCTCCCACATGGGTGTGTCCTTGCCCGTGTAATGAAGAAATGTGTTTTTCTTGAAGGTCGAGAGTTACATGACCTCTCACACGAGTGTGTCTCTGCCCGTATAATTCGTTGATCACTTAAAAGTAACTCTTTAAGTTCCATACCCTAAATTAGTTCATTCATGCTCAAGATAATGTAAAAGGATGATTTAGAATAAAAGTGTTCACGAAAATTGAAAGAAAAATTGATTTAGGAAAAATTAGACCTTAGGCCCATTAAGACCCAAACCAAAATTAAACCTCCTAAATCAATGAAATAATACCTAGTTAGGTTGGAACATGAAATGATACTTAATTTGATAAAGACCAAATATGAAAAGATAATTAAGAACCTAAAGAAAAGAATTTAGAAGGTAAAGTAAAAGGAAATTGTAATAAACAAATAAATGAAACAAAAATGTTCATCTTCCTTTATATTATGGTTATGTTCTTTCAAATGCTACATGAATGCATTAGGTTATGAATAATAATTATGCTTGAAAATGATTGACGATGAGAATTGGGTTATGATGATTGATGTGCTAATGATGGCTATGTTGGTTTATATAGGATTGATATTATCTATGTCGTTCTATTGCTCGATTTTATATGTGTTATGTGGTTTCATAACATGGTTACATGACGATTTAGGGCATACACTTGGGTATCATTATTAGCATGCATTGTCATTTACAATGCATATGCATACCAAAGCTCATGAATGATGTTTTAAGTCATGGAAACGTATTTTATGCTATGAGTTTTCGATAGCGATCGGAATTATTTTAAATAAGAGAATTTTCATGACTTTGAGGATTTTTATGAGGATGGGCTTCATGGGTTTTCCATATGGTAATGGTAATGGAAATGGTTCGGGGCCGAGCAAGTGCGGACGTGCACTTTTAGAGGCTCGGTAGGACGCGTCCGTGGATGGGTCCGATTCGCCGGACATATGTGATAGAAACCCTAAAGCACTTAAATAGGACATGTCCAGAGACGAAAAAAAGATTTTCAAACTCGTTTATGAAATGTTTTATGACATAAGGAAAAATGATTCATTATGAATATCGTTGTCTTATGCATACATACATATGTATGTACACTACATGTATATGTTAACTTACCGGGTCGTAGCTCATATAGTTCCATATGGTGTAGATAAATAAGAGACTACGACTCACTTCTCTCGCGAAGTTGACTATCGAGGGAGGCACCAAACGTATGTAGCTTGGATGAGGGTTTGGCTTTCGGGTAGACCCATTAAATAGAGTATTTGACATAGAATCAATCATGTATGTAAGTAGTTAAGGTGTTTAATCAAACCAGTAATAATAAATAATTATATCATAATAGTAGTATAATTACTTTAAATTATCCATTGCATATTGACATGATTAGAAGTTTAGCAAACATGTAAGATGAAATAAATTAAAATAAAATACCATGATAAATAAATGCGACATAAACATGAAAAATTTATAATGAAGTTGAAGTACGAAATACGACTCGAACGTCATTAAAAGATTTTACCACGTAAATATTCCTACATACGTTACAATAAGATCATAGTGCCTTGTTAGCTTACAATCATTGCACTTCGAATGTGGCTAACGATGGTAATATTCTAAACTTATTAGGTCCTAGGTTGGGAGTGTTACAGCCTCGCCTTTCGATCAATACATAGTTGAGTAGGCCGATCACGAACGTTACAAATGTGGAAGCGATCTTGGTCGTGGAAGGCTAAGATGATGCCTCGCATATGGGTAGCAAGAGGGCGCTTATGCCTCGACCGTGGGGCCTTCCGGGAAGGGCTCAGCCCAATAAGGACGTCACACCCCTCACTTCAAGCGCACCTCTATATCGACCGAACCACTCTAAGGGTCTAGTCAATAAAACCGATGAATCACGTGAACCGGTTAGATGCGTAGGGCGGAGGGCTCATAGTACCACCTTTTCTTGATCTAGCCTTTTCTTTGCTTCAATAGTGCTACTAAAAAAGAGGCAAGCTCGCATGCCGAGACTACTAAGGCGGGTGATGGACTCTTTCATTAGGGAAGGAAGAAGGGGCCTAGGCACGTACACTTGAGTGGCAAAGGAAAATGGGATCGTACCTATTTTTCCGAGGCCGTTCGGACATACGGTTCTCGTGAAAGATCAAGTTGGTGAGCCGTGTGATAGGAAACCTTCCCACACGGTTCAAAAAGCACCGAATTAGAATGAGAGGTTCACCACCACATCATTGCATGCAAGGGGAGCTCCCTCGATTCGCAAATTGGTCCGACTCATAATTCACTTCGACTCCGTGTTCGATAGCCCGATCATAGTGATGTTAATTGTGGTTACATTGATAAGTAGTTTGGTCTATCTTCATTCCATTTCATATATGTCCGAGGATCCGCATAGCCCTCGATTTATGTGTTATTTATCCATTTTTACTTTTTTTATGCCAATGTTGGTGATCTGGAGATAACTCCCTTCAATTATTCCTAGGATGGGAGGGAGTAGGTCTTGCTTTATATTTGTTAATTCATTTCGGTTTACTTGACTTCGAGCGGATAAAGCAGCTATAAAAGCTATGCTTGTCAATTGAGTAGGTGATTTTGGATTAGCTCCCGGGATTTCGGGTCGTTTTACTCTTTTTCAAATAGTAGACTTTTCAACCATTTTTGCTTGTGCTAGTGCCCCTAGAAATTCTTGGATTTCTTGTAATATGAGATTGAATGTCATAACTCTTATTGTATTTAACTTCTTATCGATGCTCGTTGGGAAATCCGAATAGATAGGATTGCATACTTGGTCATTCGATGCTATGGAGGGTCCCACTCCGATATCCGCTTCGATTCATGCAGCTACTATGGTAACGGCTAACGTTTTCATGATAGTAAGGTGCTCGCCCTTTATTTGAATACTCACCTATGGCTTTGATTGTTATTACTTTTACAGGAGCTATGACGTCATTCCTTGTGGTAACCATTGGAATATTATAGAACGATCTAAAAAGGGTCATAGCTTATTCAACTTATAGTCAATTAGGCTATATGATCTTTGCTTGCGACATCTCTAACTATTCGGTAACACTACAATAACCGAACGTTTTCCTTTAGTTTTTTAGTAAATTTGTTGTCACATATAGTTCTTCCGTACAACTTGCATTTATTTATTATATGCATTCCATCTAAAGCCATATCTCGCATATCTAAGTGGATGAAGGAGTGTTGTATGATTTATGAATTCAACATGGAAAAGTTTAGTTTGAAGTTACCGATATCATATATTGTAAATAAAACTAAAGTAAAACGATTGGTTTTACTATTTATTCACTATTTGAAATATTATTCATCTAGATTCGGATGCATTATTCCTTTTACTATGTAGTGACTTTTTTGTAGTTTTCAAATATTTTTAATACATTTATAATGAAAGTTTTCCTAACATTCCATTTTGGTCATTCTTTTTTAAATATTATTTTTTTAATTCGTAAAATATTTTTTGTTTGGTTTTGGTCTTTCTTTTGTGTTTCATTTTTGTCAATTTGGTTCTTTTTTCTCTATTTTTTAATCAAAAATTTTAAGGCAAAAAATGTTTAAAAAACATTACAAAATAAATTTTTAGCTAAGAATCCATTGGTTTGACATTCTTTATACTATTAAATAATTTTTTGATAAAAAACATTTATAAAAAATATAAAGCATAATCATTCAAATAAAAAATTTGATGTATTTTAGTAGACGTATAATATAACATGAGATATCAAAATGAAATAATTTTTAAAAATAATTTTATGTATTTTATCCGACTCGTAGCGTAGCACGTGTGAAAAATCTAATCCTTACCGTTTTATAATAAATAAATAAAGTGAGGGTTGGTAAGAGGTTGGAGTCAACTATAGATTAGTCATTTTACTTTTGTTTTAAAGAATTAAATAATTCATATATTTTTAAAAACTGATTAACTAGTACTTATGTTTTTGAATCTATTTATAACTCAATTTTTTTTCATTCTTTTTCAATTTCTTTAAATGAAACTAAATAAAAAATAAAATGAAAAGATTAATAAAAAATATATTTTTTAAATAAAATAATATTAAATTAATCATGATAAACACTAATTAATTAATTTTTAAAATAAAAGAGACTTTTTAATTCATTTTACAAAACTAAAACAACTAAATTAGAATTTAAGCATAGAGATTGTTTAGACTAGTTTTCAAATCTAAAGGGATCATACGATGTATGTCTTCTTTTTATTACATTGGGTCAATTTTTTTAAATGGATAATTATTGGAAATATAATTTTTTAAATCTTTTTCGTAACCAATATAGGTGTACAGATTAGGCTTTTTTGTACTTGAGATGGAATATAAGTAGATATCTTAGATAATCTCGACAAACAGATGGGAAATTTATTTTTTTCTTTCATCGTCATCAATTTTAATTTTTGGTTTTTGGAAATAAAAAATGATATATGGAAGTGACACATATCACCATGTACTTCTAAAAAACTCCAATTAGAGGTACCCGAATAGGATAGGTCTTGTGAAAAGTCTTCAAAGACTCAACCGAGACAAATAAGATGCCTTATCAGTCATTTGGTAAGGAAAAAAAACATTCATAAAAATGCTATCATTAAAAAAAAAAAAAAAAGATCCCAAGCTGTCAAGTAGATAGAAAACCTTTTTGGAAATTGGGTGTTCCGACGATGTTGGTGAAATATTTTGATGTGATGGTACTTTTGATGTGGCATAATATATATTTATACAAGGGTATTCGCAAATCTATGCTCAGTAAGTGAATGAATCCCTCGACTCCTGATGATTAATGACTGTATGCCATCTCTAATTCTGCTATTTTAAAATTTTGTTGTAGTTTATGTAGTCAAGTCACCAAAGTATAATTTCTATAGTCAAGTCGTCCTATATGACCACAAATTGAATATCAATCAGTCCGTATGCTTTTGATTTGAACACAGTTTGATCCCTAAATCTCTTATTAGTTATTTCACAACAGTGTTCATGAAATAAGTGACCCATGAAATTTACTAGCATTGCTTATCATTAAAGAAAACCTAGTTATGTATTTTTGGATATCTGCATTGCTTAGGTGGCTTAGTTAGTTAACAATTGTGCATAAAGATAAAAAAACCTTTTTGGAAATTGGGTGTTCCAACAATGTTGGTGAAATGTTTTGATGTGATGGTACTTTTAAAATTGGTTCTTGATATTGTTATTTTTGAATCAGATAATCGTCCATGTTTTTTATTAAAATGATTTTGAAGTTTTCATAAAAAAAAAAAAACTACAACATTAAAATGATCAAGCTAATAAGGGAAATTTTGAAATGAAAGAAATTAGGATGTATTAGCTGCGCTATTAGCTATGTAGATTCTATTAAAGTGCTTAAATTAAATTTTACTTATGTGGATGATTAAACGACTAATTTGCTTTCGAACGATTTTGTCGAATGTTTAAGTGTTAATTGATGTCTATCATAGGAATTGACTAGCAGAATGTTTTTATGTTGATCTCTTAATTTTTTTTGTTTCCATGATTTTTGTTTTAGCTTTATGTATTTTTTACAAGTTGTTGTGAAATGAGAAAGGTATGAATTAATGAAGTTTTTGATCAATATTAACGGGTTTAGAGGTTGAAGATGGCAAAGTTTAGTTGATTCTATGTATTTTTATATTGGTTTTAAATTTCGAACTCCTCAATAAATATACATTATTAAGTGTTTTAAGACCTAAAAATATTTGATTATGTTATTTTTTGTTAAATGCTAATGTTTATGACTTATGGTTTACATGTGTAGCTTTTGACAAAAAAAAGAAGTAAATATGGAATCCTCTCGAGTCCAAAGTCTTTCTCGTCGCTGGTTCTATTGTTTTCTTTTCTTTTGTTTGCTTTCTTTGATTCCTCATTTTGAGGAGGGAATTAGAGAGAGATTAATTTATGAAGAGCATAGCATTATGGCAAAATGGACGCATTGTTTGAAGCACAGCTCTCCCTATTTGTTGACTTAGGATATGCTTTAAGTAAATGTGGTAAATGCTTGAGGTATATGGAGTACATTTGTACCCAGCCATCATGTTTGATTTTTTTTTGTCCTGATAGTAATTATAGCTCTTTAATCAAGAAATGCTGCATTTTGTTTTTTTTTTCAATATGACCCCTACCACGACTGTCTTTATTTTTTGCTCCTCTTTAATGCTTGGTCCACCCTTTATCCTTTGTTTTGAATTTCTCACATTCTTTTCTTTAGTTATTTTTTCAATAAAATAAAATAAAATAAAATTTAGGAAAATAGCCTTTCTTAGACTATTGTGTTGATTCTTCGATGGACTATTTCTATGTTTTTCTTTTTTTGTTTTTTTTTTGTGAAGTTTCTCCATCTCTGAATTGCTCTTTTACCTTTGTTTATTTATATGTTGCTAATCTTTTCGTTCTTTGGTTTGTTGTTTATTCTCACACTTTGTTTGGGTGGATTTTATTTGTTATTTTTTCTTTTTTAACCATGGTTTTATTTTGTTAAATGTCTTGGCTTTGCCTTCTTTCTTTTGTGCTTTTGTTTTATGGTCTCTCTTCAATTCTTGCAAATAGTGTTGCTCTTAACCTTTATGTTTCCTGTAATATTTAATTGAATGTTTGGAATTTATGCTTTTTATCTACTATTACACTACCTAACATCCTACTTTTTTTTTTTTTTACTCCTTGGTTTTTATATTGTTTGTTTATGTGCCCGGGTATTTTTCTAGCTTTTTTTTTTTTTCTCTAATGTTATTTTTTCATATAGATTTGATATTTATAATTAGTTGTACTAATGGGTTTTACTCTATTCTATTTGTTTTGTTTTCCAACATAATGTTGCTAGCTCTTAGTCATTGGTGATCTCTCGTTGGGCCACCGTTGTTCTTTTTCGCTCTTACAAGTTAGTTTTCTTATTTATGATAGTTTATTTTTTGCTATTTTTATAATTAAATGGTGCTTTCTTCAATTGATTCTATTTTTATGGAAGGTAGAAAGCATAATTGGTTTTATTTTGGAGTTTATGCTAATATTTATTTTGTTAAATCTATTGCTATAATGTGATATTAATTTTCATTAATGTTTTATTTTGATTGTTTCAATTGTGGGTGTCACTTTTTTAGATTATTAATCTTTAATTCATACTTGGTTGGTCTTAATTCTATAGCAAGAGATTTTTTAAGAATTGATGAAAGGGTCCAGGACTCTCGACGACCATGAACCAACAAAGAAAGGTTAGGTCGAAGCAACAAAAAGTTGCACTAAGAATAAAGAAATTCAAAATCATTAAGGTATGTGACACACTTTATGAACCAATTTTTGACCAATTCATGCTTAATTCTTTTTTTTTTCAAAACAATTGTTGTTTGGACGTGTTTTGATGAACCATTAAAATTAACATTTGTAATTTTTTACATTATTTATTGAATACTTTATGTATCTTTTCCTTACGTGGTTGGTAAGAAAGTTTAAATGTTTTTTTTTTTATGTTCTTAATTTTTTTTTATATATATTGGCAATTAGAAATCTTTTGATTTGAATTGGGTGAAAATTTGAATTTGAAATTTATTAAGAAAGAGTTGATGTTTTGCTATATCTCATATTAATTTTTTTTTTTCATTTTTTCCATGTGTTATTGAACAAAATAACTAAAACTCATCAATCGATTCAAAAAATCCATGTTTATTTTTTGATAGAGAATGTTAATTTTGTAATTTTTTCCTAGCAATCATCAAGTATGTTCTTTGTGCATAGAACTCCATGTTTATTTTTCTATTAAAGCATTTTAGAAAGTATTGTTAAACGATAGAATGATCAATTTTTATGCTCGAAACTAGCTAATGCAATTTTGAATGGCTTAAATAACGATATGGAGAAAGCTTTTATAAACTCATTATATCAAAGCTAGCCTCAATATAATTGTGTGTGTGTGTCCATCTATCACATGTTTTCAAATTTTTGGTGTGATTCATATTTTTGTTCTAAAGTTAAATCTTTGTTCTATTTGGTTCCAAATAGTCTTATCATGATTATTCTATAATCTAATTATAGATTAGCAAATTCACTCATCTTTTATGGTTAATATGAGTATTTGTTTTTAAAGATTGGTTTTATAATTGTTATTGATAAAAGTTCTAGATGATAATCTATACATGGAAAATTATATGACATATCCATTAACTACGTTGAAAATGATTTGCCTTTTAATAATATTTATTGGCATTGATAATATATCATGAAATGCAATTTGTTGTCCATAAATCTTAAACCATTGAACGAAGGCATGCATCAAGTCATTGGATGTATAAAGTTCTTCTTGCATACGGACTTGACTTTTGGTGTCATGAGTTTTTTTTTTTACAACTTAATAAATATATTTTTTGTAGGTTTTGTTATAGAATGAGAGGTATATTTTAATGAAGTTTATGCTTAATGATGAAAGTTCTATTGAGAAATGCATTTTAGATTGCTTTTAAATTTTACACTATTTAATAAATACATGTTATTAATTATTTTACTATCTTGAAATATTTTATTGTATTGATTTTTGTCAAATGACTTATGATTTACATGTGTAGTTGTTGGTAGCGTAGGAGATGAAAATTGTTGATGAAGATGGTTATAAAGGAGTGTTTGTTTGGGTTTTTCTTTGACAAAAAACGTTGCTATGGTTAGTGTTAATTGATTATTTTTCTTTCTATTTTTGTATTTTTAGTTGAATATTACTAGATGGGAGGACTGAATATTATAATTAGTGTTGTTTTTTTTTCTCTATCAATGTTTACTATTCATACATTTTGCCATTCAATCACTATAATTGTTTGCAATATTTCTCTTATAATGTAATTGTAAAAATTCATTAGTATGAAAGTATGTTTATGAATAACATGCGTAATGTAATTATAAAATTTCTTACAATTGGTGGCAAAATTAAATTTGAACTAAAAAAAATTGGCAATTAAATGACTTGAGTTTATCTAATCCTATGACAAATCATCTAAATGATCAATTTTAGCATCAACTAGAAGTGACAAAAACTCATTTAGCAAATTCATTATGTATATACCAAGTTAGCAACTTTTGTATGTATATATTAAGCTCATTGACAATAATGTAAAATTTTGAATATATTAAACTACCAAATAGTAGATAACCGTTATATCAAGAGTCTCAATCCTCTTATAGGCCACTTAAATTGTTAATTTGTAAAAATTATCTACAGCTTAATTTGAAAATACCAAGTATTTTTGTTTGTCTAACAATATTTTGCCCGCAGCGAGGCGCGGGTGCAACTAAAAAAAGAAGCAATAAAAGTTATTTTCATGTCTAGAACATCCGAATTATTAAACCGACAAATAGTAGATAACCGTTACATCAAAAATCTCAATCCACTTATAGGCCACTTAAATTGTTAATTTGTAAAAATTATCTACAACTTAATTTAAAAATACCAAGTATATTTTGCCCACAGCGAGGCACGGGTGCAACTAAAAAAAAAAGCAATAAAAGTTATTTTCATGTCTAGAACATCCGAATTGTTAAACCGACAAATAGTAGATAACCGTTACATCAAAAGTCTCAATCCACTTATAGGCCACGTAAATTGTTAACTTGTAAAAATTATCTACAACTTAATTTGAAAATACCAAGTATTTTTGTCTATCTAATAATATTTTGCCTGCATCAAGGCGCGGGTGCAACTCAAAAAAAAGCAATAAAAGTTATTTTAATATTTAGAACATCTGAATTTATAAAATCATGTAGTTAGGTAATCCCATTATAAATAAGTTCTGCATACATCAAAAAAAAATCCGTCATAACATTATTGTAACAAATATTGGAAAATAAATAAAAACTCAATATAGAAGTTCAAGAAATAAAACAGCATCCTACGTACTCTATGAATTGCACCGCTAAAAAGAAAATGAAGATCACCATTTGATCTTTTCGATCAATTTTCTGAAAATTTTGTGATCTTTTGTTTGTTTTGGCATGTCCAAATCTCCTTGATCGAGAGGTAGAAACCCTGTTTGAGTACCGTCACTATCAGTATCAATGTCTCCTTCAATTGTCAATCCTTCAATTCTTGCAGCTACTGAATCCATATTTCTAATTCCCACATCTATATCTGCCAAAATAGAATAAAAATCTAAGAACACCAATTCTATTAGAGCAAGATTCATCCAATGATATTAATAAAAATGAAATCAAAGTAGTCTTACAATATATTGACATATTCGAATCCAAGACTTTTTACAATTGAGGAGACATGAATGTCAATCGAATTATAATTAAGCTCATTGGCCATACAATTTAATACGTAGTCATCAGGATCGTGTCATGCTGTTCTTATTACCTGGATTGGAAAAGAACCATAAAATAAGGCCACAAAGAAGCAGCACGAATGGAATAATATGGACAGCATTTTCTGCAAACTTCGCTCGTGACTTCTCCTTCATAGCCAATTCCACCATTGGATCATAGGCCGGTAACTGATTCAATTCCGTAGAGGATGACTTTCTCATCCCTTGAGCTCCCTCATTGGGCGATGAGTGCATATAGTACTGATCAGCCATCCTCTGATTGAAGTAATCGTCATCAGCAACCCGGTTCCAGCTTGCTGATCTATGCATTTTTTTATGCGTGTTTGCCAAGAAAAAAAAGAGAAGGAGAAGGTTAAAATAATATTTTGGACCAAAATGGAAGAGCTTTCTCTCGAGTTTAATGTTTGTTTGTCAATGCGTTCAAGGAAAACGGCTTGGATTTGGGAGAATCTGTTTTTTAGTTTCTTGTGATCTGTTTTTTTTTTCTTAAGTAAAAAAGGTTTGTTAGGTGAATTAGTCTTTGTTAGTTATTATTACCCAATGCAAATGCGAATTTTGGGATATTACCATTCTCAACTTAGTCATTATAGGAAATGTGTTCAAGGATGGATTTTTTTTTTTTAATAAACTTGTCAAATTATCTCTTCATTTGTTTTTAAGAAAATTATATGAACTTGTCATTGTATCTTATTTGAATCTATCAGCAAATTATTATGTTTATCTCCCTCTCGCATAGAATCACATGAAAATTATTGTATGGATTATTTTTAAGATTTTGATAGGATATTTGTAGACCAACTTTACACTTGACTAGTTACATGAATTGGTTTATTTGCTGGAAAATGATTTGCAAAAAAAAATGGAGCATTTGACAAAGCTTTACTTCATTTGGAGATGGATTAGTTCTAACTTTCAACTTTCAAGACAAGAAACTTGCAATTGAATCTGGCTCACATCTGTGATGAAAAGATATCAAATGAAAGGAAAACTTACATACCTTTATAATCCAAGCATATTTGAAATACACATGCTTACACGCACATATATATAAAGAAAAAAGAAAAAGTAGTGACACAAACACTTTAGTTCCTTTCATTTCATAAAAAAAAAAAAAAAAAGGGGAATACAAAGGTTTGAAGGAGGATGAGAGAGGGGATACAAAAGTAGAGAAGGCCAAAGCCTCAACTCTGAAAAACCTACGATACCTGGTTGAGTAAAAACAGAGAAACGGCGAAAAAGACCAAACCAGCAAGGCTGAATGACTGACTCTAAACCAAAAGTACCAAACTGCTAAAAAAAATCTATGATCATCAAGACCTAATTACATAATCCTCACAAGCCAAGTAAAGTAGCGATTTCATTTGCTCCTTTATTTCAACCCTGCATAGGAAAAAACGTAAAATAAAAAGAACACATTCTAGATAGACATGTTGCATCTAGACCTTAGATCTTTAGCGTATCAATGAAGTTCTTCCCTTCTGCGATGTCGTTCTTGCATAGAAAATTTAGGAAGTCTCTAAAGCTGCTCTCTTTGTATTTCTTAGGATGTTGATCGTCCACAAGCTGCTCAGCAGTTCCCATTTTCTCATCCATACCCATACTATGTAGGCTAGCAATTGAGACTCTAGTCCTTTCAGAATTCAATGTAGCCCTGTGGACAACACTTTTGTACAAGCCATTGCTTAGTACCTCAAGATGGTCCCCTATATGGACCTGAAGAGCGCCATGAACGTCTGGGATCAGCTTCCACTTGCCTTCTCTTTTATCCATTACTTCGAGGCCCGCCGAGTTCTGGAGGACAATACTTAGGCAAGTGTAGTCCGAATGCGGCGGCAATCCTAGCGCGAGTTCCGGGTTCGGGCATGGAGGGTAGCAATTGACTGCTATGACTTGCATTCCATCCTCCATTTGGTTGCTTAAGTAACTTGGACCTAGCCCAAGGCTCTCATTGATGGCTCCCATTACTTCCAAGGCTAGTTTCTTCACTTCCGTGCAATATTCTCCCATCTTCTCCCTGGAGACAAAATTGTTGCTTATAAAGAAGTTAGGACATTATATTTGGGCCATGTGATGACATTTCATAAAGGGATTGTGTAGATTGTGAAGCATACCTAGCCCACCAATTTTTGATGCTCACATCACATCTTTGATCAATTTTTTTTTTTTTGGATATAGTATGTCTCATTTATGGGGCTAAGGTCACCGCATACGTTTTGTTACGTGAGGTCCTTACTATCCATAATAACTGTCAGGTGCTTCCCATGATAAACTATTATTTTTCTGTCTTCAATTTGTATCATTATTACATTCAAAACTTGCAGCCATGTGTGAATATGCGTCACATTTTGGATGAGATTTGTCCTCAAACGAAGAAGAAATCCTAGGAATTTGTCAAGAAAAGACAAACCAGAGATTCATGCAATAGGACCCCAATGGGCTTCATAAATAATAAGCTGCTTTCACTTGCATGATTTTGCTGAGATAATTAATATGGCTGACATATAGTAAATTAAGCTGGCGACTTGGGATGGAGCTATGTATTTAGTCTAGTGGTATTTACTCCGGCAAAGCGAGGGACAAGTGGCATAATTACCTGTAGTGAGGTGGATTTTTTGGCCATAAATGAATCCAGTCAGATAAAGGATTTGCATAATGCTTGAGGAAAAGCCTCCAAAACTGGAATTTGTCAACTCCATCTTTGAGGCTCGTCCCATACCTTACTGGCTTGTGCACATCATTAGACATGAACTTCCCCTTCTCTTCGGGTGGTAATTTTAAAAAATCGGTTGCCACAGAAAGTGCTCCATCCAATATTGACTGGAAAATTCCATGATTGACGATCTGTGTATTCATAATAAAAAAAAGCAATATTGACTGTTGTCAAGTTCCAAAAAATTATATTGTAAGCTTGTTATCCTATACGACCTGATGTTGCTAGTTCCAAGCAATGGAAATATCTCATTATTTGTAAATATTTATTATGTAAAAAAACAAACATTATAATTTGAATAAGGTTGTGTAACATATTGTACCACTTACTTGAAAGAATCCCACTTGGTGACAAGCATTTCCAATTTCTTTAATGACATTATCCCTTTGTGTATCATCCTGTCTCAACCTAGAAAAATCAATAACAGGTACATTGGCAGTCTCTGGAATCAACCTCGGACGATTTGAAGCTGGAATTACATAACAATCAGGCACATATGACAAGCCTCTCTCTTGTTCACTGTTGCCAATTGTAAATGAGCTCGATGTCTCCTTTTCTTCCATTTCAAAACCTCAACCAAAAAAATGTCCCAAAAGAAGGATAAAAAAAGTAGCAAAATATGAGTAGAAAGATAAGCAGGTAAAATAAAATTTTGGGTGGTTTGGTAGGAATCTAGGATTGGGGTTTATATAGGAGAATTTTGCGTGTCAAAGTTTTTTAGTACTTCTTATACAGACCAGTTTTAAGAGCAAAAGCCGTAAAACGTTAGTTTTTATGCTATTTTGACGTGGGAATCATGTAAAAACTAGGAAAAATATCTGCTTTCTATGCTATCCAGCTATTGATAAAGCTAGAAAACAAAGAAGAACTTTTTGCAGGAAAATAATGGGAAGTTGTGGATTTATGTAGCTATTTGATTGAATTGAAATTGGCATATGTAATGCACCAGTAAAACCAGCGAGGCTAAGAGGGTATGTCCGTTGAACATGTCTTAGGCCACAAGCCCACTTGTATTGTTCTCTCTTCAAAACTGCTGGTATTGAGTCCTGTTGTTTTTCTGATGAGGACATAGCTTCATAATCATGACCTGCTATCCAACCACACACATGCAAAGGCCTATTTGATTTTGAAGATATCATCTTTCTAGATAATGTTGAGCTTTCTAAAAATGTGTACGAAAAAGAAAAAGAAATGGATAAACATGAGGTAATATTTTGGTTTAACCAATTTAGCTAGACTAAAAAAAACGATGAATTAGACCATCGCTAATTCTTATTTCCTAGAAAACTGTTACTAAATAAAATGCTTGTTGTTAATTTTTAGCGACGGTTTTTTAAGTCTCGTCACTAATTTAGCTAAGGAAAAAGCCGTCGCAAATTTTTAAGAAAAACCATAGCTAAACTTAGAAAAATTAACGATGGTTTAATAAACTGTCGCTAAAACTATCATAATTTAACGACGGTTTTTGAAATTGGTTGCTAACATTGTGTATTTAGTGACGGTTTTAACCGTCACTAAATAAATAAAAAAATTTACCCGAATTTTAATTGTTTTAAATTAACCTACTCTAGTTTAAAAACTAAAAATATATATTACAAAATTATTATAATATATAAAATTTAATAAAATTAAATATATATTAAAATATTTAATTAGAGAAAAAGTTTAAAGTTTGTTATTATTACATAAAAAAGAAAACATAAAAGCTACGAACGATCGGTAGAGTCGTCCGTCGAGCACTATAAAAAAAAATTGATTTTAGCGACGGAATATTCCGCCGCTAAACGCTATAATTCCGTCGCTAATTGTGAATAGCAAATGGACCATATTCCGTCGCTATTTTGTCTGGTCGCTAAATTTTTATGACGAATACTCGATCCGTTGCTAAATTTAGTGACGACCAATCCGTCGCTAAACCCAAAAAAAACTATCTCTAATCTTGTTGTAGGATGACTCTTTTTTTCATAGCTAATCTGTCGCTCATTTTAAAAATAAATCCGCTAATTTCCATCGCTATTCCGAAAAACAAAATTGTCACCAATCCATTGTTATTTCGTCGCTATTTTTAAAAACGATTTTTTTTGCAATTCCTTCGTTTTTGTTGACATTTTTGAAAATTAAATTATTAATATGACATTTAATAATTAAAATTAATAATAAAAAATCATAAGTAATCATTTATATATGAAAAATACAATAATATTAACAAAATCATTCTAGAATACGTTTCATAGAAAAACAACAAAACAAACAAAGTGATTGAAAATTATATCACTCATGCTCGCTCGTCTAATCTCATATCCTCATCCTCATATTGTGTTGAGTGCTCGACCGGAGGATTGATCGGAGGCTGAACTCGGAGGCTAAGTGGAAGGACTAGTAGATTGTTGAATGATCGACGAATCTATAGACAACCCGGATGTTCGTGCCACTCGCATCGATAAAGAGGCCATCAAATCGTATCGAGACTTCATGCTACAAATAGTCTTCTTTTGCTCGAAATCCGGCTTTTAAGCTCGATCACCTTTTCCTTCGTAGCCTCGTAGTCCATCCGAAGTCGTTCGCTAGCCGGATTGATCATGTATTGCGACATCGCAGAGGAGGAGCCGCTCGCCACTCGACCGAAACACATAATGCACTCGACCGTGTGCCTATCCCATAAAATCTTTTCTTCTTCTCCCCGAAAGCTCGTAGGTATATGGCATTCCGGTCTACTTTTGGCTCAAAGATTCATGCCTCCCTCTAAGCCTTAACTTCCTCATTGATGAGTTGCTCCATATGGTCCCGTATTATCAAAATAATAATATCATTGTTATGGTATTAAAATAAATTTAAGAAAAAATTTTCATATTTAATATTTGAAATTGAAAATACTAACCTTTGTCCGTTGGGAGCGTATATCGATGAATGAACCATCACATTTCTTATGAGTCATCTAGAACAATTCAAAACTCGTTGGTTGACGTCCCAATTCTACCGTCTAAAAAAAACATTATAGAGAATATTACAAGTCTCAAATTGAAATGTTCTAAAATAAGTAAATAATAATAAAGAGTGTAATTTACCAAGCAACGTGCATACTCTCACGAAGATATTAAGCCCTCCGTATGTCCGGAATGACCCGAACCGAGACCATCGGTCTTCGATAATCGGTTATGTGATGCTTGCTCCGAACAAGCCACACAATCGGGTTTCTTAAAATCAACTTGTCATGCATCTCATGCCTCCCGACTCATATATCGAGGTCACTAATCCATCAAATTGATCTTGTATACGAAGTTAGCATAGCGTTTCCTAGCGACATGCTCCCAAACCCCTCTAAAAAGTACATCGATGTCCACGTCCCATTCAAAAACTTTCTGCGAAGCAAAAAAATTTATATAACTTATTTGATGAGAAATTTTTTTGTGTAATTATAAAGAAAATTATAAATACGTTACCTTAAATTCACTAAAGTAGAAGTCTTTAGTGACGTCGGGGACATCCTTCCATGACGATCCTTTCTTGTCCACCCGTTCCTTAAAAATCTCATAGATCTTTATAGAATAATCTCTATTATCCGGAGTCAATCTATCAAGCAAACAATAAAACGATGAAAGAAATATTTGAAACGTAGTAATTATTGAAATTAAATGTTAAAAAAATAAATACATACGGTCCGTAATCGATAGAAATAATATGTTGCTAATTGGATGAGTCGTGAGAACTCTCCGGAGTGTTAGACACATGTTCGGAGGGGCCACTCTTGGAGGTCGATGGTAAAACCTCGAGTGCCGATATAGGAACACCCGTCGATGCAAATGTGCTAGCTCCATGACTCGCGGGAGCCGTTGGATCCATGAAAAAGTCCCGTCATTGGAGACCCACGAAAGACACCGATAGGGGATTCTAACAAACTAGCCTCCGACGAGTGATGTTTGTCTACGATTATCGAAACGTGATCCGATAGTGACTCCAAGAGGATGACGCAAACCATGATTACCATAAGTCATTACCGTATGATCTAACGTTAAACAAAAGAATAAAATACAACAAATATATTGTTAGAGTCCATTCATGGGTAAATAAATTAAAATTCATTTTTTGTTATGGATATAAAACAATCAAAATATACAACAAACATTTAGTGAAGGTAGAAAAATCAAAATTAATAAATTAATAAAGAGAAAAAATTACATAATTTCTTATTAATACAACAAATGAAATATAAATTTAATTCGAACTATCATAATAATTGTTTAAGTTAACATCATCTTCCGAAACATTATCACAATCATTTTCTTCGTCAACCATAACTACTTCTATATCTACAAACGATTCATTTGGATCATTCAACAAAGTGAAGTCCTCAACTTTGTCTATCAATTTATGTTAGATTTTTGGATTGTCCTGCTGAAATGGTTCAACATTTTGTTCTACTGGTAGTCGATGATTTAGAAAAGTCAAACATAAACCTAGCTTTGATCTTACACATAACCCACTAATCTTGATTGTCGTATCTTAAGCTAGGATACTCCATATAATATACTTGAGTCGATTGTGATGCTAGGACAAATGGTTTGTAATTGTTCAAGGTTCTTTTATAATTAACATCTATAAGTTTGTAGCGTAGATGAACCCTTATTCCTTGTGGTATGGGATCGAACCAATCACATTTAAACAATACTCGTTCTCTTGATTGATGATGCACGATACTCTATTCAAGAATTTTCGTCGGTATCCTATGATAGTCACTCTCACTCGAGCTATAATTGCTTTCTTTAACATATACACCACTATTGAAAGACCTAATTTTTGAAGATCCCTCAAGCGTGCGTAACTTATAACCATTAACAAAATAATTGATGTACGATCCGATAGTTAGGAATGGGCCTTGTGCGAGATCTTTCAAAAACTAGTCTTTCATGTAAATTGCTTATGCATTTTGTGTCCGTAAGTTAAACATAAAATCACCTCTAAGTTTAATTATCTTTTTATTAATGCTATCAATAAACTAAACATATAAAATGATCATACTTACATATTGATTAAACTAAGAGACAAACTCATTAGAGCATCGACTTCATTCTCGGACATGAACAAATTGTTCCGTTGCATTTCGACAAGAAATCCACTAAAGACAAGAGAATTATTAAGAAACATGAGTTAGTCTCTACTATCTTTCTAATATTAATTATTAAATATAATAAATAGGTTAAACTCATTCAATGTAAGGTTTGACTTCTTCATAATTCAGTAATATATATTGGTGGGCTACTTTGTGTTCTAGTTGTGTCAATTTTCTTATTTTGTATCGATCAACCGATCGAGTTAGTTATTTGAATATGGATAACATCCCTTTAATGTGGTTTTCTTCTTCGTTGTTGAATTCAAAATTACGGGGTACTTTTCGATGCCTTGTATGCACATGAGACTCAAAATAATGCAAGCAAAATAAAGAGGCTTCTATGACCAAATATGCATTGCATATTGATCCTTTCACTTTAGCTTTATTCTTAATTTTTTTTAGCTTTCATAGATACCTATACATATGAATAATTTTAACATTCGAAAGTAAGAAATT